CGGCCTGAGGGAGTCTAGGTGAGGCGCCTACTCCACCCCAGCACAAGGGTTCAGAGGCTGCTCCAGGGCGTAGACTGGACAAGGAGGCTGTAGCTGCAGTGCTGTGCGGTGGGTGGGTGTACTTCTGACACACACTTTGGCACCGGGTGTGGCAGCTGCTGCTCTCAACTGCAAACATCTCCTCGTTTTTGGTTCTTCTGTCCCCTTGCACTCAAGTCCTGCCAATGTGAAACCTCTAGCCCAGATTTGGTATCCAGAAGGCGGTGAGAGGTGATTTTGTCATGCCATGCCACCCCCCCACACCCACATCCTGCCCCCCAGTCATAAGATGTGGGTGTGATCATTGGCTGCCTTGCTCTGTGACCTCAGGCAAGTTTCCTCTTCTGAAAAGCTGGAGAGGATCTGATAAGTGCAAGCGAGGAAGCACCTGGCACAAGGGGCCATTCCATCATTTGTTGATGAAGCTAAGTGTTCATGAAACTCCTCCAGGACCCTGCCATTTCATACCGATTTTTATTAGTTCTCTTTTGGATTTTGGTAATTAAAAAAAAATAAAGAAAGAAGTCATGGATTCTTCCCCAACCTGGTTGCACAATTTCACTTCTGCCTAAGCACTGATACAAAATGCCAGTTTGTTCTAGGTTCTTTCCGTCCAATGTGCCACATCAACCTACCGACATACCGCACCTCTGTGAGGCCACAGGGGAGCAGAAGTCTTCCTGGTCCCGGCTTAGATGCACTCCTTTTCCCTAGTATCTCTGCATCCTTCTGTGATGTCAGCCTCAGCTCGCCTGCTGTACCTGTACAGTTCCTTGGAACTCAGGCCTCAAGCTAAGTGTCTGCCAGTGCCCTCTGCTAGTTCCTCACTCAACATCTAGTGATTTTTTTCTTGTGATTTTTCCATTACTCAAAAAGTTGTATTTTTTCTTAGTTCTCCAACTCTCTGTTTTTAATACTCTAAACATTTTCTGCCCCTCAAATAAGGAAAGCATAGCTGGTCATGTCAGAAACACTAGTCCACACGGAGCCACCAGAGACTCTGGGGACAGGTTTTTCCTTTTGGACAGCCATATAAGAACTGGGTCTCGTGGCATCAACTCCTCGAAGTGGACCTGGACACACACCACGTGCTGATTTGGTATTTTCCCAGCCTTATTGGTGTAGGGGTAAGCAATGCTATTAGCAGAGGGTAGGGCAGCCCCACTTTGTTAGAGGCTGTAGAGTAGCCTATGACACCAATTCAATGCTGCACCATTCTGGATGCCCCATCAGACCCAATTTGCCACTGGTGGAGGGCTCTAAGACTTAGTTAACACGGAGCCCTTCTTCCCTACAGGCCTCATGCCAAGTTCCTAATTAGAACACTGTGTTCCCCAGGAAATAGGTGAGCAGAGCATATAAATAAACTGGTTTATTCTTTGCACTTAGCTGTCTTATGGCAGCTTGTTCCAGTAAGGGGGAAGGGACCAGATGCCCTGGAAATGTGACACAACCATCTGGGAAAAGCAGAAGGAAAAAAATGGCAAGGTCAGGTCAGTCAACTCTCAGGGATTCTCTGGACTCCACAGACGAGCCAGGAAGAGTGCTTGGTGCTGTATCACACCACAGCAAGGGGTTGCTGGGCCACAGGGGCAGCCACTGACTCAGTCTTTCCACCTTCCACAATTAATTTCCTTGAGAATTCTTGATTTCCTGGACAAAAGGACATCATTTCCTTTGGGAGTTTGGCAGATTAATGTGGATGTGAAGAGCTAGATTAAAATTACCCATTTGTTCTTAAAAAAGGTGGGCGACATGGTTATCTGTCATGGCTCAAACAAGACACTGGTGAAAAAAAAACAAACTTTTTTTTTTGAAAGACTTATTTATACATACAGAATTGGGGTACAGGCCAGAGATGCAGAGCAGTGAGAGGATTCACCAGAGACAGAGTTGGGAGCAGAACAGGCAGACTGACAAAGTACACTGCTGAGGGAAGCAGCAGGTGAGACAGGAGAGGTCTGCCGTGCCATGTAGTTCAGCTCCCTGGCTGGGGATTGAACTCACACTGAAGCAGCTGCAGCTCGCTTGTACTGCTGCACTTTAACCCACTGTGCCACCAGGGAGGGCCCCCAAAAAGGAATTCTTGATTGAAGATGAACACTACAAGCAGCTCCACTACCCAGTCCAACCCCAGTATCTATTCCTTGAGGCAGCTCACAAGCCCTTGGCTAAGAAGAGGGCAGGACAGGTGCCCTGGCTGGCTGATAAGGTAGGTCCTACCAAGGGCACTCAGGAAAGGGTACAGACAATCAACAGGTCCAGGGGTCAAGCCTACCTTCTCCGTATTTTGCCACTCGCTGAATCCATGGGCCTGCCCCTCAGTGGCTGTGTGCCAGCACGGTCCCTGGCTGGTGTCAGGGCACAGTCCTTCTGAAGCTGCAGTGCCCAGTCCCCTGCAATGGTCAAGTAGGGTCTGAGGAACTCCTGTCTCCCAGGTTTTTGTCTATACCTATGGGGAGCCACCACTGTTTTTGGAGAGCAGCTGCTGATACCCAAGCACCTGGCTGGCTGGCCAGTTCCACGGTCCCATGGAGCTGAGCCACACTGGGAGATGAGACCACACAGCACCTACAATTGATTTCCAAGTTGTTAAGACACAGCACCTTGGGAGGTGGGGTGCACCTGCTCCTAGACCAGGGTCCCCTCAGCTCTGCTCCTGGCCAATGTCAGATTGGAAGGTGGGCAGTGGAGATCTGAAAGCGGCATACTCCCACAACTGCTGAAGCATTTCAAAGTCCTGCCCTACACACAGCTCAATTTGGCCTCTCTGGGACAATTTGTAACAAAATCTTGAAAACAACTTCCATACTTACAATGAAAAATTCAAATCTGTATCAAAGTAGAGACTTGATGTATTCCTCGCACAGCTCAACAATTACCAACACAGGCCCTTCCTGTTTCCTCTCTACCCCCTCGCTTCTCTGGGACAATTTTAAAGAACAACAGGAGAGAAATCTTTTGGTTTAGTATAAAGAATGAGTGTGCTGAGGCCATTGGTTGGCTGATGTGCCATTCCCTCAACTCGTGATCAATCAACGGGGCTTTTCCAGCCTCCCCTACAGCTAAGGTTAGATGACCCAGTGATGGCCAGTGTGACAGGTGAAAGTCTACTTTGAAGCTACTTTTTACTTTCATTGCACGACGGTATCTGTGTGTGCTTAGAGACACATCTGCACCCGGATCAGCAGAAGGGCCGCCTCATCAGAAAGATCAACAGAACTCATATGAGGGTGGCTTTTAAAGAGGTTACATGTGGATCGAGAGCGGGGCAGCTGAAGGGAAGGGAAAAGCACTAGTTTGACAGATGAAAATCTGGGCGCACCAAAAGCAATGCAAAGTGGGGAGAAGGCAAGTGCAAGGATGGTGCCAACAGCTCCACATTCCTTGACACGCAGCCAGATTCTGTCAGAGCGAGCTAGGCTCGAGGGCTTTTCCAAAGACTCACAGCTATGTAAAAAGTCACTGAGCGGAGTTCAGATGTGTGCAACAAACCTCACCAAGTTAAGAGCTGGCAGGAAAGAACAGACCTATCTGCAGAATTGATGCTTTAAGCTAACACCAAGTTCAGGTGAAGCCTATGGAAAGGCTTGTGCCTGAGAAAAAGACAGGGCCAAGCCAGCGACGATGACTTCCTGCAACAAGTGACTCCTCTCTCCGTGCCTTCAAGCAAAGCCAAAATAGCAGACCTAGCTGTGCGAAGAACCCTGCCTGTTCTTGCAGCCTTTGTAGACATCGGCTGGGCCTCACAGGTGTAAAGATTTGCTGAAAATAAAACCCTTAACTTCTAGTGAGCTCAGTGCCACTTACTCTAGATGGTCTTCAAAATAGGAGAGAAGTCAGCTCATGCCCTGCTGAGATGAGTGGCAGCTGAGATGAAGAACTAGGGGAGAGGCAGGGAATGCTGGCGGCTCTCAGCAAAGGAATCAGCCTTCCCAGAACTGAGCAACACAAGGCATCGAGGCCACGGAACTGCAGGACTTGCATTTTCCCTGCAATGGATGGCCTACCCTAATCAGAACACTGGCAAGTCACAGGTGAAGACACTTACTGTCATTCCTGTGTCCCACAGCAGAACCACAAGAGGCCTCACAGGCCATCTGCTCAGATGTTGGCCTGCAATGCTCTGTCGTCACCTCTAGAATCCTTTATCAGGCTGGACGTGAACAATATATTAGCATGTAGCTTGTAAGAGTCCCTTTCCCAGTCTCAAGACCCACAACCCATAACCAGGTAGGATGGTAATCAAGTCTTGGCTGCTATGAGTTTCTGGCCACATGTTAGACCAGATGCCATGACCTACTGCTTTTACCCTTCAGGCCTGTCATCAGCTCATCTCAATCCCATGAAGTACCAGGGTTACTCATGCCATTTATAGACCAGAAAGTGGAGTTATAGAGAATGGAGCTGTGGTCAAAGTGTCATGGCTGGTAGACGTCTGGGGTCCGTCTTTGGAGCTCTAATTTAACCCCTAGGCTACCAGGGAGACCCTTGGAATTTAAGTTTTCTTAAGGAGTATAAAAAAGTGTCTTTCAGAGCCATCTTTGACAAACCAAAAATTAAACAATTCGAGGTAGGGGCACATCTGAAATCAACTTTAACTTTGGGGAGAGACAAGGTATTCCTACTTCATGCACACATACTCTATAATATATTCTTCAGCTTTACCTTCTTCCAACAGGAGCCCCTGAGGAGAAAGAAGGATCAGGAGAGCCGCACAAAGGCAACGAGAACACAGCTGCTCAGCCCTGGTGTTCCACCACCCGCGCACCGCCAGCTGGGGCTCTCCTGCGCAGGGCTGGCCAGAAGGCGCCCCGCAGGCTAGTACTTCCCATTCAGGCTGGTCAGCTCTCCACCGTGGCCGGCCTGGATGGGCCTGAAGGTACTGGCATGGCTGTGGGCTGTGCAACAGGATAAAGGTGAGCACCGTCGTCATCTTCACCAGACTCATAGGACCAACTTTAATTTTTTAATTTTTATTTTGTCAAGGACAAACCATGTGAGATCAAGATACAAAGACAAATTCAATGTAGAAAAAAGACCACACTGGGAGACACCAGAACATTCCACAGATGCACAAGAAGCTCACATTGTAAACAGGACCAAACTATTGATTTTCCTCATACATCAGGGTTTCATTTTGCTCAGCCTGAGATCTCGTTCAATTTCAAACTGCCTGTGATCCACTCGGTCTAGAAAAGCTTTCCGTTCAATGTACCTAGAAGAACATGGGAAAAAAAGACCTGTTAGTGTCCTGTAAGAGAAAATGCCCAGCTGTGGCATTTTCTGTTCAAGGGTGAACAGTTCTTCTTGGCCCTTGGGGTTACCAGGTTACAACAAATGCAAACAAATCACCAACTTGATGACCCGCCTGACCACCCACAGCTCTGAGTAACATCCAAACCATTCATATTTGGTCTACATAAGGTTGTTTCTGGTTTGCACCTGAATGAAAACGAAAAGAAGGCAACAATTTATCATAGAGAAAGAACATTAGAGGCTTGGTGACAGGGAAATGTTACAGTCCTCTAACAAAGGCTTGAAGGAGAGAGGAAGATGTGGGGTTGGTCAAGCTCCTTTCCAGACATTAATTGGACCATGCTGGGGACTAAACCTCTCAGATTTTTCTCCACAGAAAACCAGTGAGGACTATTTCCTGGCTTTAGAGTGGGCTAAGTTAGCTGGAGGTGGGAGTGTGAGAGGGGTGGGAACTGTAGTGTGAAAAAAGGTATACCTGAAAATGGAATTTGGTAGTACAAGCTGCCTCAGAGAGCTGCAGGGACTGTGAGGTGGGCGGAGGCCCACAAGCACACACCTTAGCATTCAACTGTCCTCGGTGATTTGCTTGCCTGCTCCCTCCTCCTAGACAGGGTGTTCTCCACCCATGTGGTGGAGGCTCGGGTTAGAATGACAGAAGCTTAGCCCTCAGTCCTTTCAGGGAGTGAGATCAAGAGCTTCTGCTACCCACAGAGTGGAGCCCCTTAAAAGGTGGGTGCTCTATTCACAAATACAGAGCCAGGCTCAGCACAAAAGGCTTCCCCAGTCCTCCCAGGCAGGATGGGAAGGAAGCTCAGATGCAGACAGGCAGGCAGGCAGGCAGGACTTGGGGGAGCGCCCTGCTTAATGAGACACAGCTGCATTTTAATGCCCCCTTCTTGCCAGAAAGTGTGCCGCGATCTGCCTGGAGGAGGGGAGCTCTGCTGCTAATTAATCTATTGAGAGAGCAAAATTGCCATTGAAAATGGGAGACATAATTGAATCTCTGCACTAATTTTTCTTTTGTTGCACTGTGGAAAATGTGCATCTGTCATTATAAGGTCATTACATTTATGGTGAGAACGTTACCAGGCTCAGCAACCTGCAGTCCTTTGCCGAGTGCAGGCCCCGCTTTCCTCCCAGCAGCCTCGAGCTTCCGTGCCAGGCCTGTGGCCACTGACCTTACTACAAGAGCCAGCAAGAACATACGGGCTCCCATTTAGAAGCCTGACTCTCTGGTGTTTCTAGCTGCATGGCTGGGTAAGCTACATAACCTTACTAACGCTCAGTTTCTTAATCTGCAAGAAGAAAGGAGAAGATGACCAACTCGACCATGAGGCCTTGTGGAGACCAAATGGCGCATGGCATGCCTAGCGCAGAGCACGTGCTCTGCAAGGGGCAGCTGATGTGTCACTGTCACTTCAGGAAGCCAGCTGCTGCCAGCGTCCTGAGGACAACTGATGATCTCAGCAATGCAGCCATATCTCTTGCTCTCTGTTTTCCAAAAAGATTTATTGAAGTATGCACACAAAAACTGGATGTAGGCCAGAGATGTGGATGTGCAGGGGTGGGGTGGGGTGGTGGTGGTGGTGGTGAGAGGATTCACCACAAAGAGTGGGGAGCAGCAGGTCAGACAGGAGAGGTCTGCTGTGCCATGTGGGTCAGCTCCCTGGCTGGGGATGGAACTCAGGTCGCAGTGGCTGGTGATAGATTGATAGCACTCTGACTTTAACCTCTGTGCCACCTGGGAAGCCCCAGCCAGTCCTCTTGCTGCATCTTATCAGTGTCTAGTCACCACCACCCAGGTCGGGTCCGGGTCCACAGCTGCGTTCAGCCTGCTAGCAAGAAGGCTGGAAACACAGCAGCAGGGCCTAACTGAAGGTTTGACATAAGCTCCCAGGGTGACAGTTCTCAGATCTGGCAAGTGAAAAGATAGGATACGCTGTTCACTCTGGATTTTAGAATCCCTAGCAGACAGGGAAGCCCCCCACACGGTAGATAGTTGGAGGTGGTAATGACCAAATAAACTCACCTCCCCACAAGAGACCTGATTTCCTAGGAGGAACTTAGGGCATGCTTCAAGAGGCCCCAGTGCTGCCTGAGAGTGGGCCAGGAAATGGAAGTCGAAGCCTGTGCATTTGTGGTCTTCCTGACTTTCCTTTAAAGAGGAGGAAGTGGGCCCTCCCTGGCACAGTGGGTTAAAGCACAGCACTGAGAATCTAAAAAGCCGCTTCAGCATGAATTTGATCCCCGCCTGCCCTGGAGGTGACCACATGGCGGGGCAGACCTCTCCTGACCCGCCTGCTGCTCCCCTCAGCAGTGTACTTCGTCGATCTGCCTGTTCTGCTCCCCACTCTGTCTCTGGTGAATCCTCTCACCCTCCGCATCTCTGGCCTGTACCCCAGTTCTGTATGCACAAATAAATAAATCTTTAAAAAAATAATAAATAAATAAATGGAGGAGGAAGTGGCACTCGAATCTCGAATCAGGGTGCTCACTGAGGCTGCAGATTCTGAAAAGCTGTGCTGTATCTAGTGACCTTGAGAGATCAAGAATCAAGAGGTAAGCGTGGGTGTTAAACAGGCAGCTGCAAGCAGAGCTGTTCAGTGTAAGGACTGCCCTCGAGCAGCCAAAAGGGGCGCATGTGCAAAATGCAGCTAAATTCTCAAGGGAACCCCAGACAAAGGCTATGGAGGCAGCTCTGGCGACTTCATCCCCCATTCACAGCCATCTGCAGCTGCTACCAGGGTCCTTGTGACGCCTCTGGTTCCCTGCCAAGAGCTGGCCAGGAACAAAACTTCCATTGGACAGGGGTTCCCCTACCACCAAGGGACAGCAAAGGCACAAGGATGAGAATGCACTTATGTTTACTACTTCTGTGTCTGGATAAGACATGTTTTGTGTCTTAATTTCTTCTCTGTAAAACAATAATAATAATTGCAATAGCCTCTGATAATAAAACTCTAAAAGAAGTGCTCTGTAAACAACAAAACTAAAAATAGTAGTGAGTGCTGTTACAGGGTTTTTGCTTCCCATTTCTGCCTTGATTTCTCCCCAAACTTCAGACAACTGAAACAGACATCAAGAGACCAAATGTTCCAGAGGGAGGAAGGGTCCTCGGGAAGGCCTTCTCCTCCAAGCGGTCAGCCTATTTAAACCCAGCCTCAGGAAGTTTCTGGGAGCTCTAAGCGGTTTTAGATGCGAACGGAATGGGCACTAGCCAGGTGCAATGGTACTTTCCCCCTGTGCCCAGGCCCCGAAGACCCAGCCGACTGCAGCCCAGTCCACAGAGAAGAGGGGGGAGGGGCATCATCCCACCCCGCGGCCACTGCTTTATGTGGCCCATTTAAAAGACAGTTTTCCACTTTCATTAGTGAAATATGCTAATAGCATCAAAACCTGAGGGACTTTCTATCTTGTCCTTTCAGAACCAGGTTAGACACAACAGGCTCTGACACTTTTTTGATCTCAACCCAAATTACTGCTATCCATTTTCTTGAGATTCAGGCCAAGGGGGAACGAGGGGAAAATGGAGGAAGAGAACAAGAAAGAGGTAGAAAACATGCCAGTATCAACTTCTGGAAATCCACACCATTAATGCAAGAACGACCATCACCCTCTCAAGAAGTCAAGAGACTTCTGAAGGCAGGAGGGCCCAATGGGTGTGTGAGCGCCAAAAGCCCCGTCACTTGGTCATTCTGTGGCGGATGGCCCACACGGGGCGTCCTGCCCCCTGACCAGAAAAGCAGGGGGTGGGGAGGGGTTTGCACATGCATGCGGCTGGGATGTCTCAGGGCTGCATTCTCAACGCTCAGCTCCCAGTCGGTGCTCAGCGCAGTGCAAACACGAAGAGAGCAAATGAACATGGACTGTGGACACCAAAGCAACCGGCAATGGAGCACTTCGTGGAAGAATGAGGCCCTGCAGTTGGCGTCAGGGGTTTGCCCGGAGATACGGTGCTAGGAGCAGCTGCACAACGCTGCGCAGGCCGATCTGACTTGCTAACATGTCCATGCCCAGAGGGAAAGGAGGGGATTTTAATTTTCTTCATCATTGGTTTCTTCTCATCTTAACTCAAGGTTGTGCAGGTTCTGAAAGAATGACTCTTGGGGGGTCATGGAGACAGATTGTCTAAAGAAAATTATTCTCTCAGCCTCTCCTCCATGCCCCTCCGATATGACTTCCAATCACTGAGTATCTTGAGCTTCAATATAGTTGGCAGCTGCAGCCCAAGCCAAGTCTGGCTCTCATTTCCTATGCATTGATAGCTTCCCCCTAAGCCTGCAGGCCCCTCTTCAGCAGTGTTTGAGAGATGCTGCTGAGTGGCTTCTAGGACTGGAGGAAGCAATGCTGACTGCTCTGATGCAGATTGCTGACAGTGACCCTGAACGGCTGGACCATGGCTAGGGGCCAGAGCTCAAAGGAAATGCAGAATTCTTTGCTTCTTTGCTGTGCAGACATCAACAAAATAGCTGATATGGGATTCTGGAGTTGATACATGGAATGGGTATGACAGGGATAGCTTGTTTGGGAGTTAGTAGCTGAATTCTGGTATTTAAATTGTGAAACTAGTTGAATTTTCTTGGAAGAGGAATGTGAAGAAAGCTGGTCACCCAGACCTCAGTTGGGGGAGAGATTTCCCAAGTTTAAAATCCCAGAGAAGGAAGAGAGACACCAGGGGCCTCTCTGGTGGCACAACAGGTTAAAGTGCCGCACTAGGAAGCCAGCCACAGCCACTTCAGCATGAGTTTGACTCTCAGCCAGGGAGCTGACCCACATGGTGCAGCAGACCTCTCCTGTCCTGCCCGCTGTTCTCCTCAGCAGTGTATTTTGGCAAGTCTGTTCTGCTCCCCACTCTCTCTGTTGAGTCTTCTCACCACACCTCACTCTGGCCTATACCCCAGTTCTGTATACATAAATAAATAAATCTTAAAAATAAATATGGGGGGAAAAATATGGAGACACAGTGAGGGAGACCGAGAGGAAAGGTCCCCCAGCTATACTTGACCATTCCCGAAGATTTGGCAGGAACATACCAGAATGGGTTTTAAAAGCCCAGTGTACCCCTTGGTTGAAAGATCACGATTCTTTGTGACTCTTGATATAGCAGCTCTGTACAGGGGTGGTGCTGTGACTTAGCAAAGCTCCCCACAGGATTTCCAAACTTAGATTGGTGGAGACCAAAACTACAGCCTCTTCCCGGGAATAGAGGCTGTTTGTTAAAGCTGAAGGAAACATAGCTGAGAGGAATTTGGGGCACCGGAGAGGGCAGGTGAGAACAGCCAGAGACAGAATATAGAAGTCATCACCTTTTCCTTGGAAAATCAGATGTGTGGAATCATGGGGGACGGGGGAGTCTCAGACGGAGGAGGAAAAGCAGAGCGTGGAAGCTGCAAGTCAGTTATGTGATTTCCTTTGCCTGAAAAGTCCTCATTGGGGAGACGTGCTCTTTAATCTTATTCTTCTCCAGTCTGCATTTTATTAACTCTCCCAGTCGTCAACACCACCACTCCTTACTTTTATCTACTGACTCAAGCAGAATGAACATTGTAAACCCCATAATACTCAGAGGAGCAATAAAAATACAACACAAACTGGCCTTAGTGCAGTAGGCAAACATGGAGAAGAGGAGAGTGACGTGAGTTCCTAGAGCTGAGTCAGAGTGGGAGGTCTGGGGCAAACGTCAGAGGCCTTCCCTAGATAACACTGGCTCCTGCCTGCACTTTATCCTGGGCCCTCCCCAGATGGCTGCAGTGCTTCCGACCACAGCATTCCATCTTCCACAGACTGACCTAGAGGTCTGGGAGTTAAATAAGCTCATAAAAAATTTTTTTTAACATATTGGTCAAATTTCAGGTTCACTCAAATAACCCTGCAGCCTAATTTACAAATATGACCTGCTGACACCAATAAATCCCTCACTTGTCTTTATTATAACTTAGCTTAAAATCCACCTGGATGGTTACCCCTGAACTCAGCCCTTTATGTGACAGTCTACAAAGTGCTTCATGCACATTCTATGTATTAATCCATATTACACACCTCTGAGGTCCTCACACCCACCCTGTGGTGGCAGCATCATTCCAAAGTGACGGAGTTGAGCCTCCCACGTGACCAGATGCTGCAGGGAGAACCTTACTGGTGAGGGGTAGGTATCCCAGAACAGTCTGGTGGGTCACGCACCTCTTTTCCTTGCCGGGGCAAGGAACACTAACCTTGACTCATGAGCCTACTTGTGCAGTAACTTCCTATTCCTTAACTCCTTCTGAGGTTCCCAAGTTCTCATTGAACACTGCTTCTTTCTTGACTTCACTGAACACATTGTTTATGGATCTCCTCTTTGTATTCTAAAGTGAAGAAGAGGGGGTCCTGGGAGCTGGTGTGCCATACAGGGTGAAGCCAAGAGTAGCGCTCCACTCGGAGTCATGACATAAGAGAAAAATCACAGGATAAAGCAACACCACCTAGGCACTCTGCTGACAAAGTGGTCGGGCCTTTCAGAGGGCAAAGGTGATCCAGTGAGCCAGACGAGACCACAAGAATAAAGGTGACTTAGAGTTCACAGCAGTAATGCAGCTTGGCAGACGTGACCATCCCCCCAGAGAAATGTTCACACTTCCTCTTTCCCTTCATCTTCAGTGGCTTTCTCACCCACAGGGACCTGTCCTGCATTAGAACTGACAAACCAAAGTGCTCGCAGTCTTCATGAAATGCTCCTGCAGGCTTAAAGCAGGTCGTTTGTCTGTTCTCCAGTTCTTAGGAGGTTCACAGGAATATAATCCACTCCTACTTACCCCTCCTTCCCTCGATTATGGATGGCCAGTTCTTCACCAATGCCTTCTTCCTCCTTGAAGCTTTCCCAATCTAATTTAGACTTCTCAAGGGTGCTCATCTTCTGCTTCTTAGCTCCAATTTTCCCCAGGAGGCTGCTCATGCCACTTGATCTTTTTAACCTAGGAAAGCAAAAACAGGAAACATGTAGGATGTAAAAGCTATGATTTTTGATCAGTAGTTTTTTCGACTGGCAGGATTAGAGATATTTATCTGAAGGGGAGCTATGTTCATATCTGGGCTAGTTCCTGTCTGGTGTGGTAAACAGTGTTCTCTTGCAGCTCTCCTCCTTAACATCTCTGCCCGCTCTAAGACCCCGGGGTTAGGAAATCCTGAAGGTGTGTGCGTGGCATGTATGACAGGTCTTGGCCTGCAAGGAGTGAGAAGTGCAGGGTGATTCAGACACAGCTCTGGGGTCACATGTCTACGTTCAGATTGCAGCTCTATATGTGCAACTGCTGGCTAGTTATCTAACTGCACATGCCTCAGTTTCCTCGCCTCCAAAGTGAACACCTACTCACAGGGTTTCCATGTGTATGTTCTGTGTCAAGTGCTTAAAACAACACCTGGCACAGAGCAAACATGCAGTAAGTGTTAGTTACGCTGAATCACTGCCATCATTTGTGCACTAAAGCCCCAGGGAATTCTTTTAAGAGAAAGAGAACAAGATCCCAGTCTTGATGAGTAAGAAGTCACAATATCTTAAAAGGATTTCAAAATCAGTTTCCTTTCAACCCCTGTGAGTCAGGACCCTGGTTTTTCCCAGGAGGAGGAGAATATCCCTCAGCCTGAAACCAGGGATATGCAGCTTATGTTCTACTTGCTGCTTCTGGTGATGCTATCATGAACTGTGGGAGAAACCCCATATGCCCAAGTTCACAAGTCTTGGCAGGTCAAATGTTTCCAGTTAATGTTAAATCCAAGAGATAAGAAAAGCAGCACACAATTAGTAAGAGGGAACTAGGGGAAAGAACTAAGGAAAGAATATGGCTTGAGTCTCTTTACCATTAGTAACTAGCCCATGGGAACTGGGAGTTATTTTATGCTTTACAGAGATATACAGAAGAGTGAAGCCCTTCAAAAATTGGGATCGATAATAATACTTTCACGTGCACAGCAGTTCTCCAACTGCTCTCCGAGTCATGTGCTCATCTTACTGTTACTATGGCCTGTCAGAGAGCGCCAACCAGTCTGGGCTGGGGAGGCGGGGGTGAGGGGGGGTCCTCCAGACGGTCTGGTGTCGCAGGCACACTCTGAGACACCGTGCTTCTGCGGCACAGTGTCAGTGGAAGACCCACCGCTTCTGCCCCCGTCTGTCTGAGGCCAGCGGCTACAATTCTCCAGACTCCTGGGCTGAACACTCACCCTCCTCACTCTTATGCTATTCATGTTGGTCAGGAGGACGTGAACTTCCCCGGGGCAGTTAGAGCCCACTACATGCTGAGCTTAAGATTTACATGGAATAGGTTGGGTAGGCCTCATCCTTCTCATTTTGAGTTGGATAAATAAACACAGTTCAGAGGGTGAAATGACACAACAGAGGTCAAACCAATAGAAAGTACAGATCAAGGGCAAAGGAGTTCTCTTCAAATGCCAGCGCAGTATCTTGTGCAGTCTCACCTCTGAAATGAGAAGGTATCTGGGCAGTTTTTTGGACAGCTGCTTATTTTACTTTCCAATTTGTGGAAGATGACTCCAAATGGTTCTTATGAGCTTTCAATTACATCCAAAAATTCTTTGCCAGATAATTCAATCCCCACACCAGTGTTAGTGTGTGCATACACACACACACACAATTTTACCACAAGCAGAGTATGAGAGGGATGCGGAAACTTAACATGTCGCAAATCTATTCACCTCATACCTCCTTGCACTGCCACTGCTCTGGTGCTTGTTATATCTCTCACTTGGACCATGCAGCAACTTCTTGCAAGCCTGACTGTTTTGTCCCACCCTCATCTACCTGCCCCATCTAGCTCCAAGCCTACAAGCTGTCACTGAATTGAGTTTTCGGAAACGTGTGTCTTCCCTGATGACTATTGCTCTTTTACAGTAATGTCCAAATTCCTTAACTGACAAAGTTCTTCCTGAGACTCTTGTCCCCACACTGACCCTTACAATCTATGCCCCAACCACCCACTCCCAAATCTGCAGTTCACCTCAACCTGCTCCCTTCTTGTCTCTGGAATAGATGCCTCCTGATGGTACCCCTACTGTGCCTCAGTTCTTTTCCTATCAAAGCAGCAATCCTTTCCACAGCAGATGCTTAAGGGCATTAATTTCAGCTGCCACTGCCCTAGTCAGTTCTGAGCAAGCTCAGAGTCACTGCTGACATCCCACTGGACGCTTTCCATTCTGGCTGCATGGCCTCCTCTGACCCTGCCTGCACGCACGCCACGTAGCAGAGCTCATGCCATCGGGGCCACCTTCACGGGCAACAGGTTAGAGGCCCGGCCTCCTGTCCTCACTGCGGCAGTTCTGGGAGGTTCCCTCATTGCTCCTGAGACGTTCTGGCGGCGTTGAGCCCTGTGGCCTTAGAGTCGCGCTGTTCTGGCCTCTCCCCCCTTCCCAGTGTTACTCTTCCTGCCCCCCATTCCTGCTTCCTAAAATGACCTTCCAAATAAACTAGCTGCATTCAAAGCCTTATCCTAGGGTCTGCTTTGAGTGGCTTCTAACACTTTTAGGAGTAAAATGATTTCCCTTGTGTATGCTTTCTCCCTCTGTAGTTACTTACATCCCTGGGGTCTCAATCTCTCTTCAGCACAACAATGAATGCCCCCTACACCACAGGACCAATAGTGGGAGAAAAGTGGATGTTTCGAAGATAAGAGGTGCTAGAACACACTTCAATTGGGGATTTTAGTGCAAAGATTTCCACCTGTGTTTGCCAACCAGCTCTCAGTATTGCAGGGTTTCCATTTTGCCTGGGTGGCACCACAGGCTGTGCCCGCATCTCTCCCTGCCACTGCTCTGCAGTTGTCCTGTCTTTTTAACAGACTTTAGCTTCACTTCATGACGTCTATAAGAAAACAACATTTTGCTACACAGCACTGAAAAGGGTTCCATGAAAGAAAAAACAACCGATAACCCCCGCCCCCTTTGGTTTGTTCACTACTACACATCAGCAAAATGTCACCTGCTTTTAGGCTTTTGGGGGAAAGCTTCCAGTTCTGCCCTCATTAGATCATTAATATGGTTTATGATTTCCTAATGTGATAGTTTCTATGGCAAAACTGTCTTTTATTTGAGGTTAAATCAAGGTGAATGACACATTTATAGTAGTAGCCAAAACATGCAGAAACCCATCAGAACTACAAGACTGGCACTTTCTTCCTGGATGCTGGCATGTGGGGTTCTCTGTAGGTTTTCCAGCTCTCATACCCATTCTCCTGCCTCAGCACGGAGCTTTTGTGGCATAATCCTGGCATCATTTAGGAAAGCAAATTTACTATGACCTTGCCTGCTTTTTGTCATTAAGGTTCACCCATCAGGCTCTCAAGTAAAGGTGAGTTGGGAAGGAATCAGTTCTGGACAGGGCTGCTTACTATGGTGAGCGGCCCACTGCGGTGTCCTGCCACGGTACGTCTCCTCTCTCCAAGTGCTGAGAATGGCCATAGGGGGTAAATCAGCAGTGGTATCCTGCAGGCATGTAGCAGCTGGCTAACTGGAAAGCTGTGGAAAGGGAGAGGTCAGAATACCCTTGGAGAGCTTTCTGCTGTCTGCAGAACCAGGGAAGTTTCAGGTACCACATCAACAGAACCACTCGTTGTTCTTTGCTCGGAGCCAAAGCTATAAAGGCAAGGCCTGCCAGGAAGTGGACTTTAAGAGACTCCTTTTGCCTCTGCTGTGAATTTTCTGGTGTTTGTTCTAAAGTGGGCTGACCTGTGTCACAGAAGACCATTGTACTTCATTTGGGAGACATCCTTATCTACCTACTGCCAGTCCAAGTTCAAAGAAAAGCACTGCATACTCCTCACTGATAGATTATATCCACAATGTTATACACAGAAGTGGCCACAACTTGCCTGTGAAGATATTTTCAATATAATAATGTTTCAGCCATCTCCTCCTGAATGTCACACAACTCCACTGACCTCACAACATAAATTCCAAGTGGAGACTAACTGTGCCTGAGGAGCAAGGCCTTTGCACTCATAATCTGGCTTCCAGGCCACAAGAACACGGCTGAAAGCAGTAGGCATGCTGGTGAAAGAGACTCTTACCAGCATTTCTTTCTTGCATGTTCTGTATGGTTATCCATCAAAAGCAATTATCTTCAACTCCCTTCCCATCACACTGAGCCCAGTGATTCATCCCAACACCAGACACCAGCCAAGACCGCACACAAAAAAGACTCAGAAACCCAGAAAAGTAGAAAGAACAAAAAGGTAAATGGCAAGAAATCTTTTCTTCCTTTCTGAATTCAAAGTTTACAATGATAATTTACTAGAATTTATTTTGCTACTCTCCTTAGACCAAGAAATTTAATTTTAACAAATCTTACTGCAATTAAACGATAAGCTCCATTCTGCTGAGTCAGTGGTAAGATACAGAGTAACTTGTTTACTACCTTCATTGCCATGTGCCTGTGCTCAGGTTCACTAGGCAGGTTTTTTTTAGTGAATTTACTGTTCTGACTCTCGGTTCCCTCTCAGTGAGGCTCTGGATTCTGCTGTTTATTGGGAAGTAGTCCTAGAAAGGAGCCTCAGAAGTAAATTCCTAAGTAGAAACAGGAAGGCTGGTAGGACACACTAGCTGGTTGTGCAGGAAAGTGGGAACATCAGCCCCAGGCACCCAGGAGTTAGCAAGGAGTTGAATTTTAGGTACAGGAATGAACTTGGAGGCATTCACTCATTACACTCACCCAACAGAAACTACTGGTGCTCACTGTGTATCTGACACTGCTTGGAACGGGGGATGTAAAAACATATAAAATATAGTCTTATGTAACCACACACAATGAGAGGACTAAAGAGGGAACCGCTGAGAAGCTGTTTATGCAACCTTGCTATTTTATAGATGAGTCAACTAAAGTCCAAGAAAGTTAACTGCCCAGGTTCATACTGGAAGCCTCAGGTCTGGTACTAGATGCTGTTGATAGACCATCTGCTCCACCTTGCTG